ACTGGAAATTTGAATTACTATTGCACACTGATCAATTAATCAAAAGCAGTGTTTTTCAAACATTTTTAGGATGATCTATTAAAGAGATATTAGTATTTCAAGACTCAGACACAAATGCATAAATATATATGACAAAAACCCATTTCTAACCAATGTTGATTTTCATTAAATCTCCTCCCACTGGTTGTCACACCACTTATGCAATTGGCCAGAGTTTTTGCTACAATGTATTCCAGTCCTCCTAACAAACTCTGGCATTTTCTACCTTATTTTATTTCATTAAAAATTGTTAATAGGAAAGTCAAATCCGCAAATGTGGGTGACTATCTAGACCTCCAGAGACCACAGAGTACCTCCAAGGGGACTGACATTTGGTGTCGGAAGTCTTGCGTCCTCACCTACTGAAAGCAGGTTCCTGAAGTTCTCCAGCATCACATCTTGGTACAGCCTCCTCTGGACAGGGTCCAGCAGTCCCAGCTCCTCCTTGGTGAAGACCACAGCCACGTCCTTGAAGGTCACTGCCTCCTATAACATCAAGCACACCTAACTTCAATCTTATTATCAATGGCCACTTGAGAAGAAACAGCATGGAGAAAGTGGAGAGAATGTTAAGGGACTTAAATCAATTTGTAGATTTCCCATTCCTTCTCCTCCTGTCTTGCCAATGCCACACACTGATTTTCCTCAGCCTTACCAAAAGTACAGTAATGACAACAGTCCTTGTTCTTTTACTTTGTGCCCTCACCAGGTCTATTTATAAGTAACCATCTAGAACGCTAAATGATGCATCTCAGGCTACATGTGTTTCACTTTTTGGCAAATAGTACCAATGGTCCCAGAAACATTTAGCAATTCAGTGCCAATGTATTTGATAACACCCACCTCCCTCCTCTCTCACACAGGAACCCTGGATGCAAGCACTTTTCATTAAAGTCTGCCAAACTAACAAGCTTTTGGTGACACGTCTGGAAGAGCCATGCTAGTATGTCTTCTGTACACTCAAGAAACACACCAGCACCATGAACTGCAGCATTCAGTGCCACAATCTGCAGCTATCATGCCTCAGAGCACACTACAAGGGTCTGTCCCTTCAAAGCTGTGACCTTCAACAAGTTCACCTACTTTGATCCTGGGATAACAGTTTTTAAATGACAGAGCACTTTCAAGGACTGAACAAGGGACTAAATACCTCGTATAGCATTTGGAACAGTGAGTGGCACAGACTGTGTGACAAAGATTAGCTGTCATTTATTATTATTATCATCATTATCTATTTCATCTCATTTTATGACTGTACATTATTCAAGGGAACTGATTATCTATATTTACCTGTTTTAAATAATGAATATTTAATTCTACATCTTTTTCTCGTTACAACCAACCCTACACAGAATATTTTATGTAGATCTTAAAATTATGATTCTAAAATGGCAGATTTTCTTCCCAACTTTCTTCCTACCTCTACAATCTTTCAAGAGAATATAAGCACTATGAGGCCAGGCGTGGTAGCTCACACATGTAATCCTAGCACTCTGGGAGGCTGAGGCAAGAGGATCACTCAAGGTCAGGAGTTCAAAACCAGCCTGAGCAAGAGTGAGACCTCATCTTTACTAAAAAAGTAAAAAGAAATTAATTGGCCAACCAAAAATATGTAGAAAAAATTAGCCAGGTATGGTGGCACATGCCTGTGGTCTCAGCTACTCAGGAGGCTGAGGCAGTAGGATTGCTTGAGCCCAGGAGTTTGAGGTTGCTGTGATCTAGGCTGATGCCATGGCACTCTAGCCCGGGTAACAAAGTGAGACTCTGTCTCACAAAAAGAGAATATAAGCACTGTGTTTCTCTACATGATGGCTAAAAGCAGGTTATAAATTTTCCAATTTGGCAATCTGATTAGGAAGAACGATTCCTTTGATCATTCTCACTGGATTATAGATGAATACCAATGTTTACTAGCCATCTGTATTTTTCCTTTCTTCACTTGCCTCTTCACTTTCTTTATTCACATCACTTGGGATTCTGTCTTTACACCATGCATAAGATTCCTATTATGGATTTTGTCTTTTTTGGGGCATCTGTGTACTAAATATTTTTGCTCCAACTTGTTATTTTCTCTGGTAATTCTCTGTAAGATATCTTTTGTCATAAAGGAATTTAAAGATTTTATATAATGACCATGCTAACTGCTGTCCCTGTGCACCTGAGGAAGTGCCATATAAGGGAGAGAAGAGGTCCCCCGAGGAGGGGGCCAGGGAGAAAATGTGCTACTTCCCTGGAGAAATGCTGAGTGCCAATTGTAATAATAAAACAAACAATCTAAAAACAAAGTCAACCCAAAAGGGACAAAGACAGACCCTGGCATAAAACAGGTCCTCAAATGCCTGTTGCTCTCTTCAAGTCTTCCCAAGTTAGAGAAAAATATGTGACAATTGGAGTAATGAGATAAAATTTTAACAGCAAGAAAGGCTGTTAATACTATATTACCAGCCAGGCATGGTGGCTCATGACTATATCCCCAGCACTTTGGAGGCCAAGGCAGGAGGATTGCTTGACGCCAGGAGTTTAAGACCAGCCTTGGTAACATAGTGAGACCTTGTCTCTACAAAAAATAGAAAAATTAGCTGAGCATGGTAACACATGCCTGCAGTCCCAGCTACTTGAGAGGCTGAGGCAGGAGGATCTCTTAAGCCTAGGTGTTTGAGGTTGCAGTGAGCTGTGATAATGCCACTGTGCTGTAGTTCAGAAAACAGAGTGAGACACTGTCATCAAAAAAATGAAACAAAACTGTATTACCTTTAATGTGGTCATTTTTCTTCCTACTTCTGGAAATTTGCAGAGTCCAATTTCTGCAGTTCTTGTGAAGGCAGAATTGTGACTAGAACGTTATGGAAGGCAGAAAGAGACATTAAAGGATGGCCAGGGATACCACCCACCAACACAGATGTATACGGTGAATTAGCACATGAATGTTCACAGCAGCATTATTCACAATATCCCAAAATTACAATCAACCTAAATGTCCTCCTATGGGTAAATGGATAGACAAGTTGTGGCATATCCATACAATGGAATCTCACTTGGAAATTAATAGGAATGATGTTCTGACTGATGCTATCACATGCATGAACCTTGGAAACATTATGCTAAGTGAAAGAAGCCACTCGCAAAAAGCCACAGATTGTATGATTTCATTTACATGAAATGTTCACAACAGACAAATGTATATAAGGAGAAAGATTTGTTGATGGGGATTTGGGGTGAGAATGAGGATTAACTGTAAATGGGCATGAAGAGTCTAACTGGGGGATGAAAATGACCTAAACTGAATTATGGTGATGGTTTCTCCACTGAGCAAAGTTTCTAAAGATCACTAAATTGTACATCTGAAATGAGTAAATGCTATGATATATAACATATACCTCAATAAAGCTGGAAAAAATAATGGTTAATCTACATGTCATTTAACTTAACAAAACTGGATTCAGAGTCCATATTGATAGAATATTTATATTTGAATGAATGTATAAGCCAACAGGGGAGAAAGAGAAGCTTGTTTTTACTATAGAATAACCACTAATAAAATGTATCTACCCATAAAAAACTTTGTTAATTAAAAAAATAGTTGGCTGGGCACGGTGGCTCACGCCTATAATCCTAGCACTCTTAGAGGCCGAGGCAGGAGGATCATTTGAGCTCAGGAGTTTGAGACCAGCCTGAGCAAGAGCAAGACCCTGTCTCTACTAAAAATAGAAATAAATTATATGGATAACTAAAAATATATATAGAAAAAATTAGCCAGGCACAGTGGCACGTGCCTGTAGACCCAGCTACTCGGGACGCTGAGGCAGGAGGATCGCTTGAGCCCAGGAGTTCGAGATTGCTGTGAGCTAGGCTGACACCACAGCATTCTAGCCCAGGTAACAAAGTGAAACTCTGCCTCAAAAAAAAAAAAAAAAAGTATCTTTACAATAAAAAAAAATCTGGCAAACGTCACTTTTGCAAAGTGAAGAAAACTGAGATCACCAATCAAAGGACAAACTCACATTATGTGGTCTGTTATGTTACAATGAAAAGGACATCTTACCACTTCTGTGGTATCCCTGCCAACAATGCATAATCTGTACCTAAACATGAACTATATCAGACACACCCCAAATAAACACCTTTGTCCAAAATAACTTGCCTATACTCTTCAAAAATATCAGGAACAAAAAAGGCAATGGCTGTGGAATCATTCCAGGTTAAAGATGATAGAAATGTGATAACTAAAGGCAATGCATAAAATTGGACTTTGAAGTGGGGAAGAGGGGAGAGTCAGTTAAAAGGACTAAATTTCTAAATAGAAATGCATTAGAAGCTTAAGTGTTACTATCTTTACATGTTGGAGTCATGAGCAATTAAAAATTTTTTGCTCCTCCTATTTCTGCAATTTCTGAATGCTGTACAGTGTTATGGTTCTATAAGAATATGAAATATTTGCAAAAAGTGAAAACAAAATAGTTGACAACGGTTTTAAAAACTCAGAAAAGTCCAAGCCCATGAGCCTTGCCCTCAAGGTCCATTAATCATCAAGTCCTAACTTTGCCCACCTAATTACAGATAGTTCCTATGCCTTAACGAGAATAAGGCATCAACTCAGGCTCGGGACCCAGGCTGCGAACATAGGTTTCAACCCCAGCTCTGCCATTCATGGGTGACTATGGGCAAATAACTCATGCTCCTTGTGTCTCACTCTCATCTTTAAAATAAGAAAAAGAACGGTCCCTTTCCACAGAGCCACGGTGTGGCATAAATGTATTTATTTGTACGAAGCCCTTAGAACTGAAGTTAGTAATTAAGATTTAAGTATTATCAACACTCATGCCGATTACATATCCCACAACTGACGTGGTCTCTGTAAAACAAAAATGACAAGTCATACTCACGCGGAACTTGGCTGCCAGTAGCCAAGGAGTCACTCCCTCTGCCTCTGTGCGGTCATTTTTGCAAAGTGACTAGGGAAAGAGAAAGCTGTGAAACACAAAGATCCTGTCGCTGTCCTCAAAACAAGTTAAATGCTCCCCTCCCTTCCTGCAAGATGGAACCAACCCTCTCCTTCCTAAAAAAAGAGATCAGAAGGCGTCCAGGATTATCCAGCGTCCTGCTGAGGTCAGAGAGAAGGGCCGGAGTCACTACAGCTGCAGCACTGACCCCAAACGGGGGACCCGACTGCTTTACGGGAAATTAATATTAACAAGAAGGGATGACCATTCACCACGAGACAGGAATCGTTTTAAGGCTTTCATCTGCATTGCCTCTTTCAGTTCCCAAAACAATTCTACTAGGAAGGTTGATCTAGGATGGATGATCCTAAATTTCCCATTTTAAAGAACAGCAAGGAGAGGCCCAGGGAGATTAAGTGACTTCCCAACGTTACACACGAGAGCAAGTGACCTCGCGCGTGGGGCGGAGGGAGGCGGACTGAGCGAGCTGAGACCCAGAAACCCTGAACCAGGCGAGACGCGACACGACTAACTACCAAACCCCCTCAGGGACGCGAGGACAGCCCCAAAGGCGAGAAGGCTCCGCCCACAGGAACGAAACCCGCCGGCTTTGCCTCTCCCTCAGTTCTCCGCCCAGACTTCTTTGCCCTGAATCCCGACTACCAGGTCATTGCAGGCCCCAAGCGTAAATCCATGAAGTTCGGAAGGGCCCGCGAGTCGCGGAACTGGCTCAGACTACCAAGGAAAGTAACGTAGCAACCTCCCATACTGGGAACGGAAGTGCCCGCGTTGCCACAGTGTCTGGACTACATTCCCCAGAATTCCGTGGTCCGTCTGCCTGAGCTACGAAGTGACTCTGCGGGGCTGGTGGACTACACTTCCCAGAATTCCCCGGATCCGCCTGTCTGAGTGAATAGAAATGTCCGCTACCCCTAGAGTGTGTGGGCTACACTTCCTTGTCTCACCTTCCAGGGAGAAGTGTTTGGGCTACTCTCTGACTACACTTCCCTCAATGCCCGAAGGGAACCAAACCCGCAGTCCTGACCTCTTGGGCTTAGAGTTTGCGTTGCAAAACTAGTCTATAAACGCGACTTCCTAATGCCCCCAGTTATTACAGGAGTATTATTACAAAGAGAACAAGCTGGGAAGTATAATCTTCAAGAAATTAACAGGGAATGACTGTTTAGGGGTCAGTAGATGACTGAAAGGAGGATAAGTATAATCTGATGGTATGAGGCCAAAAGAGGTAGATTTTAAAGAATGGGCGAGATGGAATGGTTTTGGGAAGGGCAATGAGGAACGAGAAAGGTCCCAGCATCTACTCCAGACCCTGTGCTACCAATGGTTTAGCAAGAAAAACCATAATTTGAAAAGGCCAAAAGGAAAGCCCTGTTCTCATGGAAAAGCTGTCTTTCCTCGTTTAAACTTTTCGTTTAAACGGTATTATGATTTGTGCGTTAGAGGTGAAAATATAAAATTTCAGAGAAGAAATTGCCCAATATCTCAAAGCAAACATAACTGCTGAAGAGCTTGACATTGATATCAACCTGAGTCTGCAAGGAGAGTACAATGGAAAGTCCTCATTTGGTACTTCCCTAGACTGACGTATGTAATTTTTCTCTTAGCTAACTATGTTTATTTTTCCATATAAAAAAAATCTGTATCCGTGAGCATAAAATCATTCAGTGAGTTCTGAGAGTCTTTCTAGTAAATTACTGAATGTGAAGGTAGTTTTGGAAAGCCCCAAATCTGCAGTTGGTGTCATGTGAGTTTGGTCTTGTGTAAACTGTCCCCCTAAGCTGTGTAGTGTGCCAAACTCTTTGCATTCCTAAATATCAAACACCTAGGAGTGTTTATTTCTATACATTCAAAGTATTTCTTTTTTAAGAAGGAGAGGGTTGGACACCATTGTTTGGATCTAAGGGCAATACTGCTCTCTTCTCTTGCCATTGCCAATCTCAACTAATCATCCTTTGTCTTATAATATGTACTCCAGTGAGCACTGTTGCTCATCTGTCTTTGAGCCCTAGTCTTAGTCCATTCCCAGAATGAAGAGTGCAGAATCTCAGGGCATGGATTGCTCGATGAAATTAATATCAGTTAAAATGGACAAACAAAAAGACTGGGCTTATAACCCAACTCCACTCCTAGGTATATACCCAAGAGAATTGAAAGCTAAGTGAGAGAAGCAAGACAGAAGAGATTGTTTATTGTACAATTTCATTTATATGAAAGATCCAGAATATACAAATCAATAGAGAAAAAAATGTATGATCCTGTTTGCCAGGATCTTGTGGAGGGAGGATGATTAGGAGTGACAGCCAGGTGGGAGGGGGGTTCTTTCTGGGCTGATGAAAAAGATCTGGAATTAGATAGCAGTGATACTTGCATGACTTTGGGAATATATTAAAAACTATTAAAGTATACATTTAAAGGGCACGAATTTTATGGTATGTGAACTGTAACTCAATTTTTAAAAAGATTTGGGCTGATTGCTCTAACAGTAATTTGGAATCTATATCCCACTCACACATCATAAATTGATATATTCCCTTCTCATAGCACATTAAAAATACTTCTACCTTTTCACTGAGCACCAACTAATAAAAAAATAAAAATACTTCTACCATTACATTCATCATAATGCCCAGAGTTAATTTTACACAGGTATGTCCATTCACTGCACTATACTTCTTGAAGGCAGTGCTTCCAAACCAAAAGAAGAAGAATTTAGAAAGTATCTAAGGAGAAATTTGTGATTGGTAAGTGCTCAATTCCAAACCCTGAGAATGATTCAAAAACCAAAAACAGGAAGGTCTGCATTATTCAAGAACATCACTATGACTAACTCTGCAGCAGGCTTTCCTGAAGTAGAGTTGGAGATAGCATCATAGTAAATATACTTTACCCAGTACTTACTTAGGACATACCCTAAGTGCTTGTAGCCTCCATTCCAAATCCCTAATGCAATTTTTGTCTCTCCCACAAAGCCTAAAAAACCTAATATTCTTTCTCCATCTTCCAACAGATTATCATGAGACACAGTTCTGGAAAGTGAGAAATAAGTAGCAGTCAGCTGTCCCATCTGACAAGAGATGCACTTGGCTATGAGGTCATCAGGGGTTCAAAAAGAGTAAAAAGGTGATATTCTCAGTGTATTATAAGTATCTGTGAAGTCTTAGGATTATTCACACTAGGTGGGTAGAGGGAACAAGCTGGAAGTACAGGAAGAGATGGTTGGAGAGTGGCACTACAAATTGTTATGAAGGAGTCTTTTATAGTAAATGGGAAGGGCTAAGATATAACAATGGGAAGATATAACAATGGGAGAAAGAGTCCCCTTAATAGGTCATAAGACTCTTAGGGTGGATTTTGCCCATTCCTGCAAAAAAATGTCATGGTAATTTTCATAAAGATTACATTAAATCTGTAGATTACTTTTTAAAATTTTATTATTTATTTTTTAGTACAGTTACTAAAAAGCATAGATCACTTTAGATGGTATTGACATCCTTGCAATATTTGGTCTTCTAATCAATTAATTCTGGACATATCTCCATTTATTTTTGCCTTCTTTAATTTTTCAGTAAGATTTTGCACAATGTGGTCTACAGGTGTTTTTGTTCTTGGTTAAGATTATTCCTAAGTAGTTTACTCATTTCAATGCTATTGCAAATGGAAGTTGTTTCCTTTTCAGATTGTTAATTGTTCCTATATGGAAATAGACAGCTGCTTCTACCATGTTGATCTTTCATCCTGCAACTTTTCTGATTTTGTTTGTAAGCTCTAATAGTTTTTTTCTTGTCAGTTGTTTAGAATTTTTATATATAAGAACATTGCATCAGAAAATAGACATCATTTTACCTCTTTCCTTCCAATTTTAATAGATTTGTTTCTTTTTCTACTGATTCTTCCTAGAACTTCAAATACTGTGCTAACTAGGTGTGAAGAAAGCAAGGCAAACTTAATGTGCTTCTGATATTACAAGAAAAGTTTTCAGTATTTTGCCACTGAATACAAAGTTAAGTTCTGAGTTTTTCCATATATAGCTTTTATTGTGTTGTAATTGTCTGTTGCAGTTTCCTCTCCTTTTAGTTTCTCAAGGGTTTTTTTGTTTGTTTTGTTTTGAGACAGGCTCTCATCCTATTGCCTAGGCTAGAGTGCAGTGACATCATCATAGCTCACTACAGCCTCAGTGCAACTTCACACTCCTGGGCTCAAGCAATCCCTCTGCCTCAGCTTCCTGAGGAGCTAGGACTGCAGCCATGTGCCATTATGCTCAGCTAATTTTTCTATTTTTAGTAGAGACAGGATGTCGTTCTTCCTCAGCCTGGTCTCAAACTCTCGAGCTCAAGCAATCATCCCACCTCTACCAGAATGTTAGGATTACAGGTGTGAGCCACTATGCCTGGCCATGACCCTCATTTTATTTTATTTTATTTTTTTGAGACAGAGTCTCACTCTGTTGCCTGGGCTAGAGTGCCGTGGCATCAGCCTAGCTCACAGCAACCTCAAATGCCTGGGCTCAAGCAATCCTCCTGCCTCAGCCTCCTGAGTAGCTGGGACAACAGGCATGCGCCACCATGCCCGGCTAATTTTTTCTACATATTTCTAATTGTCCAGCTAATTTCTTTCTATTTATAGTAGAGATGGGGTCTCGCTCTTGCTCAGGCTGGTTTCAAACTCCTGACCTTGAGCAATCCACCCGCCTCAGCCTCCCAGAGAGCTAGGATTACAGGCGTGAGCCACCGCGCCCGGCTAATTTCTTTCTATTTGTTTGTTTTTTTTTTGAGACAGAGTCTCACTTTGTTGCCCAGGCTAGAGTGAGTGCCGTGGCATCAGTCTAGCTCACAGCAACCTCAATCTCCTGGGCTCAAGCGATCCTCCTGCCTCAGCCTCCCGAGTAGCTGGGACTACAGGCGTGAGCCACCGCGCCCGGCTAATTTCTTTCTATTTATAGTAGAGACGGGGTCTCACTCTTGCTCTGGCTGGTCTTGAATTCCTGAGCTCAAGTAATCTTCCTGCCTTGGCCTCCCAAAGTGCTAGGATTAAAGGCGTGAGCCATTGTGCCCAGCCCATGACTCTGATTTTTACTTAATGTTTCTCCCATGTTAGCACTCGGACAAGATCATGGATGTTAAGAAGTGGTGAAGAGTTTAACCACACACATGACATTATTTAGTCTTATTTATTTTTATTTTAGTTTTCTCTTCAGTATGGACACTCTGAAGTTGAAGACTTCAGGCCTGACCAAAGAATACACTATCCACATTTCCATGGTTTCTCTCCCATATGGACCCTCTAATGCATATAAAGATTTAAGTGATCCAGCATTAAATATACCCATTATTGGGTATATTTACAAAGGAAAGAAAATTAGTATGTTAAAGAGATATCTGTACTCCCATGTTTACTGAAGCACTATTCACAATAGCCAAGACATAGGCCAAGATATGGGATCAAACTAAAGGTCCACCAGATGAATAAATAAAGAAAACATGGCATATATACACAATTACCATTTAGTCATGAAAAAGAACAAAATCTGGTCATTTGCAGCAATGTGCACAAGTTTTGGAGGACATTATATTAAATGATATAAGCCAGGCACAGAAAGATAAATACATGCTCTCACTCATATATGGAAGCTGAAAAAGTTGATCTCATAAAAGTGGAGAATAGAATAGTGGTTACTAGAAGCAAGGAAGGATGGGGGAACAGCCAAAATTGATTAACAGATACAAAAGTATAGCTAGATAGAAGAATAAGTTCTGACATTCTACAGCACTACAAGGTGATTGAAGAACAATTTTGTGTTTATTTTCAAATAGCTCGAAATGCAGATTTTGAAGCTTTTCCAACACAAAGAAATGATAAATGTTTGAGGAGATAAATATGCTAATTATACTGATTTGATCATTATACACTGTAGACTCGTATCAAAATATCACAGTGTATCTCATGAACATGAACAATTATGTATCATTTAAAAATAATGACAAGAGCATATCAAGATTCAAGCGCCTCTTGTAGCCCTTCCCACAGTCCTCACATTTGTATGGTTTTTTTCCACTATGGTCTCTTTGCTGGTCTTTAAGGTATGAACTGTGTACAATGATCTTTCCACAGTCCTCACATTTGAATGGTTTCTCTCTGCTGTGGAGTCTCTGATGGGTTAGGTGAGTTGAGGCCCATCTGAAGCCTTTTCCACACTCCTCACATTTGTATGGCTTTTCCCCAGTGTGAACTCTCCGATGGGAATGAAGTTTTGAATTTTCAGTAAATCTCTTACCACACTCTTCACATTGGAATGGTTTTTCTCCACTATGGAGTCTCTTATGATTCAAAATACTTGAGGCCCGGCTAAAGCTCTTCCCACATTCTTTACAATTATAAGGTTTTTCTCCTGTGTGGACCCTCTGGTGCATGTCGAGATTAAATTTACTGTTGTAACCCTTCCCACACTCCTCACATTTGTATGGCTTTACCCCACTGTGAACTCTGCGATGGGAATACAGTTGTGAATTCTGAGTAAATCTTTTTCCACACTCTTCACATTGGAATGGTTTTTCTCCACTGTGGACTCTACGATGAGTATAAAGTTGTGAATTCTGAGTAAACCTTTTCCCACATTCTTCACATTTGAATGGTTTTTCTCCACTGTGGATTCTCTGATGATTCAAAAGACAGGAGGCCCAGCCAAAGCTCTTCCCACATTCCTTACATTTATAGAGTTTCTCTCCTCTGTGGACCCTCTGATGAAAGTCAAGATCCAGCCTCCTTTTGTAACTCTTTCCACACTCCCCACATTTGTATGGCTTTTCTCCACTGTGGGCTCTCTGATGGGAATAGCGTTGTGAATTCGTATGAAATCCCTTCCCACATTCTTCACATTTGAAAGGTGTTTCTCCACTGTGCACATGCTGATGTCTTGAAAGACCTGAGGGCCATCTGAAACTCTTCCCACATTCTTTGCAATTATATGGTTTGTCCCCTGTGTGGTCCATCTGATGTCTATAAAGATCTCGCCTACGAATGAAACCTTTTCCACACTCCTCACATCTGTATAGTTTCTCTCCAGTGTGGACTACGTAATGATTATTAAGAGCTGATCTCTGACCAAAGCTCTTACCACACGTATCACATCTGAATGGTTTCTCCTGCATGTGAACAATGGAATGTCTGTTAAGATTTGATCTACTACGAAAACTTTTGTAACATATATCACATTTGAATGGTTTCTCCCCAGTGTGAATTCTCTGATGTTCCTGAAGCTGAGAATCATGAATGAAGGCCTTCCCACATTCCTCACAATTATAAGGTTTCTCTCCTGTGTGTAATTTGTGATGAATATAAAGTCCTGATCTACGACTGAAGCCTTTCCCACACTGCTCACATTTGAATGGTTTCTCTCCAGTGTGGACTCTCTGATGAGTTTGCAGATATAAGCTTTGACTGAATTCTTTTCCACACACATCACAATTATAGAGTTTCTCTCCCATGTGGATTCTCTGATGAATACAAAGAGCTGAGTTATAACAGAAGCTTTTTCCACACTCATTACACGAATAAGACTTCTCTCTTGAGTGTAATTGTTGATGAAGATCAAAGATTGAGATATCACTGAAGGACTGTTTACTCCTATGACCCAGGTAAGGTTTCTCTCCTATGTGATTAATAGACAGTCCTGTCTCAACCTGGCAGGGCATATCAGTTTGTGTGGACAGCTGAGACCTGGTTAAGTCACTTGCAATTTGTTCCAAGATTTGCTGGCAGGACACATCTTCATGTGCTGCTGCTTCTAGAATAGTCTCTATCTCAGTTTGGATTTTTTCTCCTATCAGAAAACAGAATTAAGAGATATGGACAAGTGAAGGCTTTATCCAGTATTACTAAGATTCCCTAGGCCGGGCGCAGTGGCTCATGCCTGTAATCCTAGCACTCTGGGAGGCCGAGGCAGGAAGATCGCTCGAGGTCAGGAGTTCGAAACCAGCCTGAGCAAGAATGAGACCCCCATCTCTACTAAAAATAGAAACAAATTAATTGGTCAGCTAAAAATATATAGAAAAAATTAGCCGGGCATGGTGGCACATGCCTGTAGTCCCAGCTACTTGACCACTTGAGCCCAGGAATATGAGGTTGCTGTGAGCTAGGCTGACACCACAGCACTCGAGCCCAGGGAACAGAGGGAGACTCTGTCTCAAAAAAAAAAAGATTTCCAGTTAGCACATGGCATGAAACTTTTATGAATACAAGGTACTTTCAGATTGCGTTTTCAAGTGCACCATAGTCTCTCTGCATTGTATGAGACCAATTCAGAAGCACACCAAGTCTCCTATCTTAAATTCTTGGTAGAAGTAAAACCTTGCATGGTAAATTATGTAACTAATACTTGCATGGTAAATTATATAACTAATAAGTATGTACATAATGAAATATGATTCAAAGAGAAGTTTAAGGAGAAACAATAACATAGTCAATACTTTATATATTTAGTTTATGTTGTATACCTGTATGAAGTGAAGAAATTAACATTGGTAAAAAGAGGTCTGGGTGTTATCCTCAACATCTGAGAGGTATAGGCCAAAAAATAAAAATATTATCCTGGGATATCCAGGAGTGATCAAAATAATCACATGAGACCTGAAAGGTAGAAGACAGAGGCATAAGAAGAGGAGCAGAGGAAGCTACTCTCTGACTACGGAAGAATGGTCAGAGATGCAAAGTTGCTGCTGTTGAGGATGGAGGAAGGGAAGTAGGATGTGCACAGTCCCTAGATACCTGCCATGGTATCCAGGTAAACCAAAGGAAAAGTTTCTTCTGCCCCTGAACACTCAGAAAAAAAATGAAGTCCTACAGAGAACTGGATTTGAGTCCAGTGAGATTCACCAGACTTCAGGGCTAAAGAACAGAAAAATAAGAAATGTTTGTTCTTTAATCCACTAAGTTTGTGGTAATTGGTTACCACCAACAGGCAGTACAGCATCTTTAGCAGGACAGAGAAATAGCAGGGACGACAATGTGTCTGGAAAGATAGCAAGAGAGAAGACAGGAGGTGTAGTCAGAGAAGTAAAGGGGGATGAAAAGCAGAGCGTAGGGTCTGTAAAAACCAAAGAAAGGCATCATAACTTTAATAAAAATAAGAAGCCAAAAAGGCTGTTGAGCCCAGGAAGGGCACTCTGACTTACAGTTCCTAAGGATCACCTGGCTGCTATGAGGAAAGCAGATGCTAGGTTGGGAAAGGTGGGAGCAGGGCAACCAACAGGAAGGTAGTTGTAATAATCCAGGAAAGAGGTTTGGCAATTTGGACCAGGGCAATAGAGTTGGACATGGACAGAAGTAAACAGATAGGGGAGTCATGTACAAAGATGCACAGTTGTTTGGTTCATACCTGAATTCCCTTCTCTATGGGTTGCTGTCTTCATCATCCAAAACGTTTCTTCTTTTATGAAGTGGAAAGTATCTCGGTGGAATGGTTCATGCCCTGTGAACATGCAAAGTCACGTGCTTAATCCCAGCACATTCTAGGTAAAATTTACTGGAAATTTAGCTTCCCATTGCACACTGAAACTGGAATAACCTAAGATATGAAGTCACTCCTGCAGCCTGACATTCCATCACAGAGAGTGCCTGTCCTCACCTACTGACAGCAGGTTCCTGAAGTTCTCCAGCATCACTTCTCGGTACAGCTCCCTCTGGGCAGGGTCCAGCAGCCCCAGCTCCTCCTCACTGAAGACCACAGCCACATCCTTGAATGTCACTGCCTCCTACAACATCCAACATATGCAACCTCAATCTCATGACCAGTGATTACTGGGAGAGGGGTGGCCCTGAGTGGGCAGAGAGTTGGGAAGTTGCTCTGGATGTTGAGAGATGTAGGTCAACTTACAGATTTTCCACTCATTTTGTGTCTATCCTGACAACGACACACAATGATTTTCTTGAGCTCCCCCAGAAGTGCAATGATGACAGGGAAGTCCAGTGCTTCTACTTTGTGAACTCATTGAGCCTACTTATAAGTAACTCCCTCTGGGACTCTAAATGCTGCACTCTGGGCTACACACATTTAGGTTTTAATGAATCTTGCCAACTGCCCCAGCAGCATTTAGCTGTTCAGTGGCAACACTGTTTGATAAGGTCTATTGTCTTCCACTCTGGTATTTGAAACCTGGATGCTATCACTTTTTGTTAATATTTGCCAAGCTAAAAAACTTAGCTGTGTGGGACAGCTATATAGCACATCCTCTGTATTCTCAAGGCACAAACTTTACGCATTAATTGCAGCATTCAATGTCATGATCTAGAGTCAGCATGCCTCTGAGCCCATGCCAAGTCTCTGCCAGTTCCCAATCATGTGAATTTAGACAAGTTGGTCTAAATGCATTATTCTCTGCTGTGTCTAATGATTTTCACATGAGTTTTTTCCACATTAAATAAGGTAATATATATAGCACTGGCAAAATTGTGGGGTACTAATTAAGCACTTAATAGGCATTAGTTATTTTTAATTTAATTTTTTAATTTTTTTTTTTTTGAGACAGAGTCTTGCTTTGTTGCCCAGGCTAGAGCGAGTGCCGTGGCGTCAGCCTAGCTCACAGCAACCTCAAACTCTTGGGCTCAAGCGATCCTCCTGCCTCAGCCTCCTGAGTAGCTGGGACTACAGGCATGCGCCACCATACCCAGCTAATTTTTTCTATATATATTAGTTGGCCAATTAATTTCTTTCTATTTATAGTAGAGATGGGGTCTTGCTCTTGCTCAGGCTGGTTTCGAACTCCTGACCTCGAGCAATCCTCCCGCCTCGGCCTCCCAGAGTGCTAGGATTACAGGCGTGAGCCACTGCGCCCGGCCTAGTTATTTTTATATATTATTAGCATTGTTGTGATCTAGTCCATCTCATTTCATGTCTGTGTAGTATTCCAAAGAATTGATTATCTATTTTTACCTATTCTAAATAATATTTAATTTTACATATTATTCAATAATACCAGTCCTATAAAGAAAACTTTATGTAGATCTCAACCTCCTCTTTGATTATTTAAAATATTAAAAATTGAAAAATTAAAATGTCAAAAAATAAGCATGTTTAAGTTGTGATAATACACTGTCATATTAATTGCTTCTCGGCCTTTTGGCTAAGATCAAGTATACTGTCATATCTTCTCAATTTTTTTTTTTTTTTAATTTTTTTTTATTCTTCTCAATTTTTTAACCAAACTGTGATCTTTCAAGAGGATACATGTTCTCTGATTTATCTTTGCACAGCCAAGAGCAAATTACCAATTTTCTCAGAATTTTGATAATCTGATTAGCAAAAATTCATTTTATTATTCTCACTTACTTGAGTATAAATAATACCATCACCTTTTCACATATTTATTGGCCATCTCTATTTCTCCTTTTAAACTTCCCTTTTAATGTCTGTTATCCATATGCCTTTAACTTTTTTTCTATTCTCTAGTCTGTGCATAAGATTCTTATTTTAGACTGTATCTTTTTTAGATAACTAAGTGGTAAACATTTTTCCCCCAAGTTGTTATATTTTCTGGTAACATTTTATAAGGCATCTTTTGCATAAGGAATTTAAAGATTTTCTATAATGATTGTCGTCATTGCTGTACCTGGGCACCTGGAGCTCTGTGTGCACCAGAGGAGGCGCCATATCAGGAAGAGAAGTAGTCACCCCAAGGTGGGGACAGGGAAGAGCTATAGATGTCATCACTCAAAAGGGCACTCTGGACACCTACACTACTGGGCTCAGGCCCCTGAATGCAGAAGTTTCTCTTTCTTCTTGTCTCTCTTTCACTTGAGCTAACATTCCTGACATTTGGTTTCCTGTTTGAACCTGACCACGTGTCTCATATTTTACAGGTGTAAAAGGAAGATGAGGATGATACTGTCTCATTCAGCTGCTTGGTGGGATAAATGCAGTAAAAGAACACAAGTGACTGGCAAATCTTCTAGTATTACTGACCATTTTAAATGAAGGTTACCTACTATTTTGGTCAAACTCCTTAAAATACAAATAAAGAAGGAAAGACTATTAAATAAAATATACACGAGGCACAACTCAGGCATGGGAGAAACAGAATCTAGCTTTTCTTACGTTTAACCCTCTAATAATACTTGTGTGAAGCAGCAGATACAGCCTGTTGTGCTGAGGTATATGTGGTTATTCTATCTACAAACCAGAGAGGGTGACACAGGTCACAAGCACCCTGTCAAAATTGAGCTCCTTGTGTCTGTAAGGGGAAAGTAATTTAAAAGAATGCAACCACTAAAAAAAGAAAGACCATTATATAATATTAAATAAAAAGAACACAATTTAGGGTGGGGGCAGTGGCTCACGCCTGTAATCTTAGCACTCTGGGAGGCTGAGGTGGCAGATTGCTCAAGGTCAGGAGTTCAAAAACAGCCTGAGCAAGAGCAAGATCCCATCTCTACTATAAATAGAAAGAAATTAATTGGCCAATTAATATATATAGGAAAAATTAGCCGGGCATGGTGGTGCATGCCTGTAGTCCCAGCTACTCGGGAGGCTCAGGCAGCAGGATTGCTTGAGCCCAGGAGTTTGAGGTTGCTGTAAGCTAGGTGGACGCGACGGGACTCACTCTAGCCTGGGCAACAAAGCGAGACTCTGTGTCAAAAAAAAAAAAAAAAAAAAGAGCACAATTTACATGACCATCTTCAATACAAATAGCTATAAATGTACATAAAGAAGAGTAAAAGAGGATGAAAAACAGCTAACTTATGAATAGGAAAGCAGTAAAATGAAAGAAATAGCCATTCCTACTATTTTCTTTACTTCTAAAAATATTAACACAGGAAAACTAGAACTAAAAACAACAGGTTCTCAAATGCCTGTTGTCTCTTTGAGTCTTCCCAACACAAAGAAAAATATGTGACAATCTGAATAGTGAGGTGCTATTTTAACTGGAAGAGAGGCAAGTCTTACTCACTTTGAACGTGGTCATTTTTCATCCAACTTCTCGGAATTTGTAGAGTCCAGAGTTATGCAGTTTGTGGCAAGGCGGTACCTGGAAAGTGCCACAGATGTCAGAAAAACATACAAGAAAGGGTGGTCCGGGATGCTGCCCACCAACACAGATGTGTATTGTGGATTAGCAGGAGAATATTCAGAGCAGCATTAGTCATAATAACCCCAAAGTGTAAACAACCAAAATACTTTATCTATAAGCAAACAGATAGGCAAAATGTGCCATATCCATATAATGGAATCTAATTTGGAAATTAAAGGGAATGAAGTACTGACTCATCCTACGACATGCACGAACCATGAGAACATTATACTAAGTTAAAGAAGCCACTCACAGAAAACCAGATGTTGTATGATTCTATTTCTGTGAAATTCCAGAGTAGGAAAGTGAATGCGGTGAAAAAGTAGGTAGGTGGTCCCTGCATATGTAAGGTGAAAAAAGGATGAACAATAAGCAGCCATGCAAAGTCTAACTGTGGGATGAAAATGATTTAAAGTGAATTATGGTGAGGGTTACTCTGCTCAGTAAAGTTCCTAAACATCACTGAATTGTACACATACTATGGATGAATGTATGGTATGTAAAATACACCTCAATAAAGTTGGAAAAAATAATTGCTTAGCTACATGTCATTGAAATCGAGGTCAGATTCTGAGTCTATGCTGATAGAATACTTATATTTAAATGAATGAATAAGCAAATGGAGAAGGGGAAGGTAATCTGTACAGTAGAATGCCCACTAATAAGTGGATGTCTCCATAAAAAACTTTATTAAGTAAAAAAAAGTATTAAATAGTAACTTTACAATGGAGAAACCTGACATAACTCTGGCCAGGTGAACAAAATTGAGATCTGCAATAACAGGACAAACTGACATTATTGGCCCCTGTTATTCTGCAATGAAAAGGACCCTTCACCAACAGTGGACGGTGGTATCCCCACCAACAATGCATAATCTGAACCTAAAGGTGAAATACATCAGACAAACTCCAAATGAACATCTTTCTCTAAAACAACCTCCCTATACACTTGAAAAATATCAAGGATAAATAACAAGAGTTTAAAAAAGGTTATGATATCCTTCAAGACTAAAAAATACTTTGAAGGGGGGTAAAAGTGGGGATGGTTAATGGGTACGAAAATATAGTTAGAGCTGGGGGCGGTGGCTCACGCCTGTAATCCTAGCACTCTGGGAGGCCGAGGCGGGTGGATTGCTCAAGGTCAGGAGTTCAAAATCAGCCTGAGCAAGAGCGAGACCTCCGTCTCTACTATAAATAAAAAGAAATTAATTGGCCAACTAAGATATATAGAAAAAGTCAGCCGGGCATGGTGACACATGCCTGTAGTCCCAGCTACTCGGGAGGCTGAGGCAGGAGGATTGCTTGAGCCCAGGAGTTTGAGGTTGCTGTGAGCTAGGCTGATGCCACGGCACTCACTCTAGCCTGGGCAACAAAGTGAGACTCTGTCTCAAAAAAAAAAAAAAAAAAAAAAATATATATATATAGTTAGATGGATAGGGTGAACAATATTTCACAGTACAACGAAGTGACTATAGGCAACAATAAGTCATTATACTTTAAAATAACTTAAAGAATGGAATTGGAATCTTTCTAACACAAAGAAATGATAAATGTTTGGGGAAATGGATGCCCCAATTACACTAGATTGGATTAATACACATTGTATACCTGTATCAAAACATCACAGGTATCTTATAAATATATACAACTATTAAGTACCCATAATAATAAAAATAAATAATTTAAAAAAGATAACAGAAACATAACTATTATAAAAACAATATATAAAATTAAACTTTGAATGAGATTGTATGTGGAGGGGGAGCATGGGCATAGTTATAAGGACTTAAAACATAGAACAAAAGTAAATAGGAAACTACACATTGGATAACATGCCATCTAATGTTATCTAGAACTATCAAAAAGATAACACTATTAACTACTTTAACTAGTGGTTTTTTTGTTTTTTGGGGGGGAAGGGACAGAGTCTCACTCTATTATCTGGGCTAGAGTGCCATGGCATCAGCCTAGTTCACAGCAACCTCAAACTCCTGGGCTTAAGCAATCCTTCTGCATCAGCCTCCAGAGTAGCTGGGACTACAGTCATGTGCCACCATGCTGGGCTAATTTTTTTTCTATATTATTTTAGTTGGCCAATTAATTTCTTTCTATTTATAGTAGAGATAGGGCCTGGCTCTTGCTCAGGCTGGTTTCGCACTCCTGACCTTGAACATCCGCCCACCTTGGCCTCCCAGAGTGCTAGGATTACAGGTGTGAGCTACCACGCCTGGCCAGTAGTGTTTTAATAGACATCTCATATTTAATGTTACATGAAACTCTGCAACCAGCCCTTTCTAAATGCCTCTTACCAAGATACCCCATGATTACCCCAGAATGTGGGCTTCCTTGCTGCACAAAAGCTACAGTAAGCTGTGTCTGGTTACAGGTATGTTCCTGGTGACATTTGCTGATGGGGAACAACAGAGCAAACAGGCAGTATGTAAAAAATTTGTAAATTTGGGTAAGAGTATATGAGAATTACTTATATTATTTTTGCAACTTTTCTATAGGTTTCTAATTCTACAAAAATTAAAAGTTCTAAAATATCAGGAAACAGTCATAGGAATAATAATACTTGTGAAACTAATAAGGATGAACATGATATGACAGTTCACTAGTTTATTTTCTCTTAACAGTGTTTGGAAATTCCCATAGTTAAATGGATAAGGGGAAGATACATTTAAAAATGATAAAAATTTAGTTAAAATATTCATAAATAAATAGAGAAATATACACAAAGAGCAACTAAAAAGAAATGCAAAGGAAGCTTAACAATGACTATCTTTCCATCCTGGATCTATGAGTGATTAAAAAAATTTTTTTTCTAGGCCGGGCGAGGTGGCTCAAGCTTGTAATCCTAGCACTCTGGGAGGCTGAGGAGGGCGGATTGCTCGAGGTCAGGAGTTCAAAACCAGCCTGAGCAAGAGCGAGACCCCCGTCTCTACTATAAATAGAAAGAAATTAATTGGCTAACTAATATATATATAGAAAAAATTAGCCGGACATGGTGGCGCATGCCTGTAGTCCCAGCTACTCGGGAGACTGAGGCAGAAGGATTGCATGAGCCCAGGAGTTTGAGGTTGCTGTGAACTAGGCTGATGCCACGTCACTCACTCTAGCCAAGAAGTCACGCCTTGCAGTTCTCTTTAAAAAGTAAGGCTGGGGAAAGAGAAAGCTGTGAAATACCCCATGTCGCTATACTCAATAAAAGGTAAATGCTGCCCTCCCTTCATGGAGGATGGAAGCAACCCTCTCCTTCCTAATAAGAGGTCAGAAGGAGTACAGGATTATCCAGCGTCCTGCAGCTATCAGAGAGAAGGGACAGGGCCACCGCAGCTCTGACACCAAGCAGGGGACTTGACTGCTTCCAGGCAAATTAACAATAAGAAGAGATCTCTACTCATCATGTTACAGAAACTGTTTTAAAGCTTTCATTTTAACTATCTCATTCAATTATCAAAACAATTTTGTTATAATAAGGTGTTCCTGGCCGGGCGCAGTGGCTCACGCCTGTAATCCTAGCACTCTGGGAGGCCGAGGGGGGGGATCACTGGAGGTCAGGAGTTTGAAACCAGCCTGAGCAAGAGCAAGACCCCTGTCTCTACTATAAATAGAAAGAAATTAATTGGCCAACTAATATATGTAGAAAAAAAAAAAATTAGCCGGGCATGGTGGCGCATGCCTGTAGTCCCAGCTACTCGGGAGGCTGAGGCAGGAGGATCGCCTGAGCCCAGGAGTTTGAGGTTGCTGTGAGCTAGGCTGACGCCACTGCACTCACTCTAGCCTGGGCAACAAAGCGAGACTCTGTCTCAAAATAAAATAAAATAAAATAAAATAAATAAATAAATAAATAAATAAATAAATAAAAATAAGGCGTTCCTACTATCCCCATTTTAAAGAACAGTAATGGGAGTTACAGGGAGATTAAGTAACACCCCAACGCTACACTGTTAACTGGCCTCACGCGTGGGGTGGAGAGAGGCGGATTGAGGGAGCTCAGAGTCAGGAAAACCCTAAAACCAGGCGAGACGGGACAAGACCAAGCTCCAAACTTCCCCGGGGACGCGAGGATCACCCCAAACACCACAAGGCTGCGCTTCGAGATCGCAAACCGCCGCCCTCGCATCTCCAAACCTCCACTCTCCGTCGAGACTTCCTTTCCCCTAAATCGATCACCAATTCGGTGAGGATCCAAAGCGTAGATCCAGGAAATTTAGATAGGCCTGCAAGATTCGGGACTCCCCCAAACTACCACTGACAAGAATGGTGGTAAACTCACACTCTTGGAGCGGAAGTGCCTGGGACGCCGCAGAGCGTCTGGACTACACTTCCCAGAACTCCGTGTAGCCCTCTTGAGCGAAAGCGGCTGTAACGCCACAGAGCCTTTGGACTACACTTCCCAGAATTCCCCGGATCGCTCCGCTTTAGTAGAAGCGACGGCTACAAGGAGACTATGGAGCATAGTTTTGTGAATACTGAAGGAAAAACATCCGTAGTCTCACCCATCTAGGGAAGTTTCGCGAGTACCCGGAGCTCCTTGACTACACTTCTCGCATGCCCAAGTGGAACTAATCAATAATGTGTTTACTGTTAAAACTGAGAGTTGGGTTATTAGCTCTCCATGAATCCCCAAAAGAAAATGTTTAATATGAAGCTGTGCCCCAAAGAGTTAAAGAAAAAACAGGGACTAACAGAAAATTTTGAGCTTGCAGGATGGCAGATAAAAGAAACAACTTGTTGAAATGCTGAAACACCCTGAGCTTGTAAAATAATAACTGGCTGAAATTGGTTGGAATCAATATGGCCAACTTGAGTCTGCACAGAGTGAGATTGCTGTTGTCACAGCCCAATTTCTGCTGCATGTTTCTGTCAACAGAAAAGAACCCAACTTCTGTAAAATAATTTAAACAAGTTTATTCTGAGCTGAATATGGGCCATGGCTGCCCAGAGAGCCACACCAAAGCCTTGAGCAAATGGTCTTGCCGTGGTTGGGATACAGTTTGGTTTTATACCTTTTAGGGAGACAGGAATTACATGTAAAGTCATTAATCAATACATGTAAGCTGTACATTGGTTTGGCCCCCAAAAGCATGACATCTCAAGCAGGGGATAACAGATTATTGGTGGGTCTAAAGGTTCTTTGATATAATTGGTTGGAGAAATGAAGCTTTGTCTAAAGTCTTGGAATGTTTTCAGATAAAGAAATCTTAATCAGAGACAAACCACTGGACATATTTAAAAATAGAAGACTTGCTGGAGTGTTTTATCTTTTGTCTTATATAGCCTTAGGCCTGTTAATGAATTACAAAGAATATCTCAAAGAAGAGAGGCATGCAGAGGCATGCCGAGTGCATGCAGAGTGGCATGTCTGTCTTCCCTTATGGCCAGCAACTCAGCTTTAGGGTATTTCTGGGATCCCGTTGGCCAAGAGGGGGTCCAATCAGTCAGCTGGCAAGGAGCTTAAGATCTTATTTTCGTTTACATTTCATACTAATTCACCCTGAATTTGTACATGTGACCCATGAAGAGACAACTGCCTGTGCTTGAAGACTTTCCAGACCTCTCCTTTCCTTCCACCAATTACCAGCTAATCCCACAAACTGTTAATGAATCTACAAGGGGGATTCCCTGTTGCTCTCCCCACAGAAAGCTAATTACTGAGACAACGAGGATTGTCAAGGAGGAAAGGATTTATTACAGTGGACCTGTCTACTGGGAGGGGGAGGTATGGATTGCCTCGAATCTGTCTCCCTGCTCAACAGGGTCAGGGGTTTCCTGGAGGTGAAATGAACAACGCATCAGAGGAATGAGCATCATCATGTTTGGGGTGGAGTGCAGTGAGAAATCATGCCAGTATATCCATTCCATGATGAAAAATGGTATATAAGTTCCTTCCAAGGTGGGGATTTTAGGATTATAATGAGCTAGGGCTTAATATTGGTCATTCTTTTAGCCTTGTGTGTAGGCTCAATGGGTCCTTTGGCACAATCTGTGGTAGGGTGTTGCTTATCTAGTGTTCGCTGGACAAACAGGTGGTGTAAAGCTTTGTAGTTAGTTATCTCGTGGCTGCAAGGAGGCTCTGCTGTTTCTGGGAAAGAAACTCAAAAGGGAATATCTCAGTGCAACAGAAAGTTATAAAGTTCTGGTCAGCAAATCTTACTGGCCTGGGAACTTGAAACATAAGAGAACTACAAACAAAAAAAAGCTATAAAAATGTTTTCTTGGGCTGGGCACAGTGGCTCACACCTGTAATCCTAGCACTCTAGGAAGCTGAGGCAGGAGGATTGTTTGAGCTCAGCAGAGCAGCCTGAGCAAGAGTGAGACTCTATCTCTACTGAAAATAGAAAAAATTACCTGGGTGTGGTGGCATGCACTGTAGTCCCAGCTACTCAGGAGGCTGTCAGGAGGATCACTTGAGCTCAGGAGTTTGAGATTGCTGTGAGCTAGGCTGACACCTTGGCAATGTAGTCCAGGCAACAGAGCAAGATTCTGTCTCCAAAAAAAAAAAAAAGTTTTCTTGCTTATGGAGCAGGTTGCAGAATTACCATATGAATCAATAATTTCATATGGCAACAAAACAAATACTTGTCCATCAATGTTTACAGCAGAATTATTCACAACAGACAAAAGGTGGAAAAAAACCAAATGTCCATCAATGGATGAAGTGATAAACTATAATATGAACATAAAATAAAATATTATTCATCTATAAAAAGGACTGAAGAACTGATATATGCTATCATGTCAATGAACTTTCAAAGCACCATGCTAAATGAAAGGAGTCAGAAACAAAATGTTCCATAGCATATGATTCCATTTATATGAAATATGCAACATAGGTGTTCAATAAGACAGAAAGAGGCCGGGCGCGGTGGCTCACGCCTGTAATCCTAGCACTCTGGGAGGCCGAGGCGGGCGGATTGCTCAAGGTCAGGAGATGGAAACCAGCCTGAGCAAGAGTGAGACCCCGTCTCTACTATAAAATTGGCCAAGTAATACATACAGAAAAAATTAGCTGGGCATGGTGGCACATGCCTGTAGTCCCAGCTACTCAGGAGACTGAGGCAGGAGGATTGCTTGAGCCCAGGTGTTTGAGGTTGCTGTGAGCTAGGCTAACGCCATGGCACTCACTCTAGCCTGGGCAACAAAGCGAGACTCTGTCTCAAAAAAAAAAAAAAAGAAAAAGGGTTCCATCTCTGCCTGACGTCAGAGCGGCCTCAGCTGTTGCCTGGAGATGTGTCCCTGAGGCATTTGGGAGCTCCAGGGCTCTGGGGCTGTGAGTCACGGTGGGGTTCTGGCCTGCCCTTTCAAGCCATTTCAGGGGATGGTCCTAGGATCCTAAGAGCAGAGGAGGACCAACCAGGCTGAAGAAACCTCCATCAGAAGCCAACGGTCACACAGGATCGATCACCGCCTCCTGGGTGTGTATGTGTTTCCCAGAAAGTTATCACCCCAGTGACTTGAAGACTGGACTGCCTGTATCCCTGTGGGCTGTGCTGAACCCCACAGCCTCAAGAGCAACCTATATACCTGTGTGTGTGTGTCTCTTTGAGTGTTTGTGTGTTGGCTGGTGAGAGGAATGTGTCTGGTGCATCGGAGCGGGGCTTTTTTCTAGTCTTTTCCAGTGAGCCTCTCCCTGCAGATTGGCTTGGGCTGTGTGGCTGGGTATAGTTCGTTTTCCTCGGGGTTCCTGTCTGTGTCTGTTTTTGGCTGGTTGAGCTGGGAGGCTGCTTGAGATGGGCAGAGGTCAGCATGGATTTGTTTGGGTTTATACTACTTGAAGATCATTGAGCTTTTTGGATTTACAGATAAACATCTTTTTTTTCAAATTTGAGAAGTTTTCAGCCCTCATTTCTTTAAATAAGCTCTCTGTCCCTTTCTTTCACCTGGGACTCCTATAATGCATACATTGGTCCAACTGATGGTGTCCCCAATGTCCTTTGACCGCTGTTCACTTTTATTCATTCCATCTCTTTTTGCTGCTGAGATACAATAATTTCATATGATTTTTCTTCATGTTCACTCTGGCTATGTGAAATTTATCACCAACATGGATTCTGTGATAAACTCTAAGATATGAACTCAAACTGAAGTGCTAACCAAGTCTCTTGTTTTTAATGTTTCTCCCCTCAGATAGCTTCCTACATTCAAATCATGTTTCTCCACTGTGTTTACAGTGATGTCTCTCAATAGACTTGAGCTGTGAGCTCATGGCTGTTAAAACAAAGTGAAGACTTTACCATACACATCACATTACTAAGGTTTCTCTCCATTGCAGACACTCTGAAGTTGAAGACTTGAGACCTGGTCAAAACATATACCATACTCTCCACATTTCCATGGTTTTTCTCCCATGTAGATCCTTGGATTCAAGTGATCTACTAATCCCACTTTTGGGTATATATCAAAAGGAAAGAAAATCACTATAGTAGAGATATCTGTAGTCTCATGTTTACTGCAGCACTATTCACAATAGCTAAATATGGAATCAACCTAAGTGACCATCAACAGATGAGTAAAGATGTGGCATAAATACACAATGGGATACTATTTAGCTATAAAAAAGAACAAAGGCTGGGCGCGGTGGCTCACGCCTGTAATCCTAGCACTCTGGGAGGCCGAGGTGGGCGGATTGCTCGAGGTCGGGAGTTCGAAACCAGCCTGAGTGAGACCCCGTCTCTACTAAAAATAGAAAGAAATTAATTGACCAACTAAAAGTATATATACAAAAAATTAGCCGGGCATGGTGGTGCATGCCTGTAGTCCCAGCTACTTGGGAGGCTAAGGCAGGAGGATTGCTTGAGCCCAGGAGTTTGAGGTTGCTGTGAGCTAGGCTGACGCCACGGCACTCACTCTAGCCTGGGCAACAAAAGTGAGACTCTGTCTCAAAAAAAAAAAATAAATAAAAATTAAAAAAAAGAACAAAATTCTGTCATTTGTGATAACATAGGTGAGCTTTGGAGGAAATTATGTTAAGTGATATAAGCCAGACACAGAAACATAAATACTATTCTTACTCATATGCAAAAGCTAAAATGTTGACATCATAGCAGTAGAGAGTAGAATAGAGTGATTATTAGAGGTAGAGAAGGGTGCATGGGGTAGGGAGGATAGCCAGAGGTTGGCTAATGGATACAAAAGTACAGCTCATTAGGAGGAGTAAGTTCTAGCATTCTACAGCAGTGCAAGGTGACTACAATTAACAACAATTTCGTGTTTATTTTCAAATAGCTAGAATAGTAAATTTGGAAGGTTCCCCAAACAAAGAAATGATAAATATTTCAGGTGATGGATATGCTAATTACATTGATTTGATCATTACATATCATAAATATATATAATAATTATGTGTCATTTAAAAATAATGATAAAAGCATATCAAGATTCAAGCGCCTCTTATAACCTTTCTCACAGTCTTCGCATTTGTATGGTTTTTCCCCACTATGGTCTCTTTGCTGGTCTTTAAGGTATGAACTATGCACAAAGCTCTTCCCACAGTCCTCACATTTGAATGGTTTTTCTCTGCTGTGGAGTCTCTGATGAGTTAGGTGAGTTGAGGCCCATCTGAAGTCCTTTCCACACTCCTCACATTTGTATGGCTTTTCCCCCGTGTGAACTCTCTGATGAGAATGAAGTTTTGAATTCTCAGTAAATCTCTTCCCACACTCTTCACATTTGAATGGTTTTTCTCCACTATGGAGTCTCTTATGTCTCAAAATACCTGAGGCCCAGCTGAAGCTCTTCCCACATTCCTGACAATTATAAGGTCTCTCTCCCGTGTGGACTCTCTGGTGCAAGTCAAGATTAAACTTACTAATGTAGCTCTTCCCACATTTCTTACATTTGTATGACTTTTCTATACTGTGGGGTCTGTGATGGGAATAGCGCCGTGAATTCGTATAAAATCCCTTCCCACATTCAAATGGTGTTTCTCCAGTATGGATATGCTGATGTCTCGACAGACTTGAGGACCATCTGAAGCTCTTTCCACATTCTTTACAATGATATGGTTTCTCTCCAGTGTGGTACATATGATGCTTACAAAGATCTTGCCTACAAGCGAAGCCTTTTCCACACTCCTCACATTTGTATGGTTTCTCTATGTGGACCATGCAATGATTATTAAATGCTGATCTCTGACCAAAGCTATTAATATTATCACATGTATCATATTTGAATGGTTTCTCTCTTGTGTGAACCATGGAATGTCTATTCAGATTTGATCTACTATGGAAAGTCTTACCACATATATCACATTTGAATGGTTTCTCCCTAGTATGGATTCTCTGATGTTCCTGAAACTGGGAATCATGAATGAAGGCCTTTCCACATTTCTCACAATTATAAGGTTTCTCTCCTGTGTGTAATTTGCAATGAACATAAAGTCCTGATCTATGACTGAAGCCTTTCCCACATTGCTCACATTTAAATGGTTTCTCTCCAGTGTGAACTTTCCGATGAGTTTGCAGATGTGAGCTCTGACTGAATTCCTTACCACACACATCACACTTATAAAGTTTTTCTCCCATGTGGGCTCTCTGATGAATACGAAGAGCTGATCTGTAACAGAAACACTTTCCACACTCATCACACGTATGAGACTTCTCTCTTGAGTGTAATTGCTGCTGAAGATCAAAGACAAAGAAATCACTGAAGAACTGTTTATGTTCTTTACACTGGTAAGTTTTCTGTCCTATGTGAATAAGAGATAGTCCTGCCTCAGTCTGATAGGGCACATCACCTTGTTTGGAGAACTGAGAGTTATTTATCATGGAGTCTTGAGACCTGGTTAAGTCACTTGCAATTTGTTCCCAGATCTGCTGGCAGGACAACTCTTCATGCGGTCCTGCTTCTGGAATAGTCTCCATCTCAGTTTGGACCTTGTCTACTGTAAGACACAAAATTATTAATAAAACAGTAGATAAATGAAGCCTCTGTTTAGTGTTATCAAGATTTCACATTAAGGACATGGCATAAAAATTTCATGAATACAGAAAATGTGCAGTTTGTGTTTTCTAAGCTCGACATGTTCTGTGGTTTGCATTAGACCAATTTAGAACCATACCAAGTCTGATATTTGAAATATGTGGTAGAAATAAAAGACTTTATTTAAAGAATTAATAATATGATACATACAGTTAACCTGTTATTATTTCACTAATTTCCTAATATAAAACCCTGCATGGTAAATTATGTAAGTCATAAAATCTAAATCAAAAAGAGCTTTAGGGTGGGAGGACTTCAAGATGGCTGACTAAAGGAACCCAGCACTTGACTTCACAAAGAAGAACCAAAATAATGAGTGAGTAGATTATAACACATCGAATAGCATCTAAGAGAGATCACTGGAATTCAGCAGGGAGGTGACAGGAAACATATGAGGCATGGAAGGAGAACGAAGCAAGGCAGCTGTACTGGCTATCATTGGCTGACAGCCCAGAGAGGCTCCCCAATGCTACAGAAGGTTAAGTAAGAGTTCTCCAGAAGTTTACATTCCCACCATGGACTCCTGCAGTCCTAACCATGGGACAACCCTCAACCTCATATCCACTGAGGCTAGTATAGGGAATTGCTTGGGATGAGTGCAATGGCACTGCTCCAGAGAGGGACCTCACACCGGGTCCCACACAATTCCAGAGTTTCAAGCAGTTGCATGATGGCACTATCTTTAGAGCCCCACCCCCACCAGACTGCATCTTGCCCTGGGATCCAACAGCCCCTGTATCTCCATATCCCTGGAGCCCCACTGACATACCCCACGATTACCCAGAGGGTTGCAATAAAGCAACACCAGTTAGACCCAACAGTATGGCAAGTCCCCAGCACTCTAGGCCAAACAGTGCATGTCCTACACTCTGGGGAACAGGGTAGGGGGTATAGCACACCGGGAAGGCTGCCCCCCATACAAAGGGAGCCAAAGTATGCACTCATCAGATCTTGACAGCTGCTTGCCTAGGGCAGCTGCCAACTAACAGCAACCCTACCCCCAGCATCAGGGCTGCAGCACACTTGTACGTGCCCCGAGGAAAGAGTTTCCCTGTGTTCTGCTGCTATTGCCTCTGCCATCAAAGGATGCTCCCTAGAGGTTTGGGGCCTGGGGAATGTTCTGCACCACCCACCACAGCCTATGCCCATGTTTGGCCTGCTCCGCTCAGTGCCACCTCTCCTAGTGCTCTCACTAGGAGAGCCACCCAGGGGCCTAGGGATTATCAGTGCCATATGTTGTGTCATACAAAAATAAGAGATCTGACAAAAACCCAGGCTGTCTGCCACTGGTGTAGCATGCTATTTGGGGGCTTAGGGATAACCCCGTCCTCTCTTTCAAAGCCTACACCTGTACACACCACTGAAAAGCTGTCTGGCACCATGGCCCCCACTGCCCCAAGCACACTGCCTAGGGAACAGATGGGAGGGTGGGAGAAAGGCAACCAGCTGGGAAGGGCAGTTGCTATAAGCCAGGAAAGAGGTTGGACAACTTAGACCACCACAAGGGAAATGAGAATGGACAGAAGTAAACAGAAGAGTCACGTACAATAACACACAGTTGCTTGGTTCTTACCTGAATCCCCTTCTCTATGGGTTGCTGCCTTCATCATCCAAAACTTTTCTTCACTTAGGAAGTGGAATGTGTCTCGTGGGAATAGCTGATGCTCTGTGAACATACAAAATACATGCTTAAGCCCAACACATTCTAAGTAAAAACCAGCTAAAATTTACTGGAAATTTAAATTCCCACTGCATACTCAGACTTCAACATCCTAGGATAAAAAGTCAGTCCTGAGACCTGATGTTCCATTACATAGGGTGACTATCCTCACCCAATGAAAGCAGGTTTCTGAAGTTCTCCAGCATCACATCTCGGTACAGCTTTCTTTGGGCAGGTTCTAGCAGACCCAGCTCCTCCTCGGTGAAGATCACAGCCACGTCCTTGAATGTCACTGCCTCCTACAACATCCAATATACATAATATCAATCTTATGACCAGTGATTGCTGGGAGAGAGGCGGTACTGCACAGGCAGAAGGATGGGTGTGAAGGTGTTCTGGATGTTGAAATACATAGGTCAATGTATAGATTTCCCACTCATTCTATCTGTATCCTCACAATCACACATACTGATTTTCCTGAGCTCCACCAAAAGTGAAACAATGAAAGAGAAGTCTTGTACTTTTACTTTATGCACTCCCTGAGTCTACTTGTGAGTAATCCTTTAAGATTTAAATGCTTTGTTTTTGGCTATACATATGTAAGTTTTAATGAATCTTGCCAATTGCCAACATAGAGTAATGAAGTCCCAACTGTACTTGATAATGTCCATTATCTTCCTCTTTCAAATTTGAACCCTGGGTGTTACCACTTTTAGTATGTGGCAAACTAACAAATTTATGGTGACCTTTGTGGGACAGCTATGCAGTGGTTCCTCTGCACACTCAAGGCAAAAACTACAATCTAAAGTAGTGAGATGGAATTTTAACAAGAGAAGCAAGCCTTACTTACCTTGAATGTTGTCATTTTTCCTCCTACTTTGGGGAATTTGCAGAGTCCTGAGTTATACAGTTCCTGGGAAGGCAGAATCATGCCTGGAAAATACCACAGAAGGCAGAAAAAGTGATATGAAAGGGTGGCCAAGGAAGATGCTGCCCACCAACATGGATGCGTATTGTGGATTAGCACGAGTGCTCACAGCAGCATTATTCACAATGACCCAAACTACAAATAATAAAAATAACCTCCTAGGGGTATATAGATAGACAAATTGTGGCATATACATACAATGGAATGTTATTCATCTATTAAAAGGAATGAAGGACTGAGTCATGCTACAACATGCATGAAGACTCGAAACATGTGAAATCAAGGAAGTCAGTAACAAAAAACACCACATATGGTATGATTCCATTTATATGAAATGCCCAGAATAAAGAGAGAAAGTACATTACTTGTTGATGGGGTTTGGAGTAAGAATGAGAATTGTAAATGCGCACAAGGAATCCAATTAGGAGACAAAATTATCTAAACTGAATTATGGTGATGGTTATTCCACTTCACAAAATTCCTAAAGTTCAATAAATTGTACACATGAAACAGGTAAATGCTATGATATGTAAAATGCACTTGAATAAAGTTGGAAAAAATAATTGTTAATCTATATGCCATTTAACTCAACAAAAAGACTCAATTCTGAGTCCATAGTGATAGAATATAATTGAACTAATGAATGAATATAATGGGGAGAAGTAGAAGCTCATTTTTACAGCAGAATGGCCATTAATAATATATCTCCCTATAAGGAACTTTATTAGTATCATTTTTTTGTTTTGAGACAGGGTCTTATCACCAGGACTAGAGTACAGTGGTGTCATCATAGCTCATTGCAACCTCAGACTCCTGGGTTCGAGTGATTCTTCTGCCTTAGTCTCCTGAGTAGCTGGGACTACAGGGGCATACCATTACACCTGGTTAATTTTTTTATTTTAGAGACAAGGTCTTGCTATTGCTCATACTGGTGTCAAACTCCTGGCCTCAAGTAATCCTCTGGCCTCATACTCTCAAAGTGTTAGGATTAGAGGCATGAGCTACTGCTCCTGGCCAAAACTTTCTTATTTTCTTAAATAACAAAGTCACTTTACAGTGGACAAATCTGAAAGACATCACTTTGGCCAAGTGAACAAAGTTGAGATCATTAATGAAGGGACAAACTGATATCAATTGTCCCCTGTTATGTTGCAATGAAAAGGATGCCTTACCACTTCTGTGGTATTCCCACCAACAATGCATAATCTGAACCTAAATGTGAAATAGGTGAGATAAACACCAACTGAACATCTTTCTATGAAATAAATTGCCTATATTCTTCAAATATACCAAGCATAAAAGGACAAAAGATGTGGAATCCTTTCAGATTAAAGAAGACTAAAGAAATGTGACAACTAAAGGCAATGTATAAAAATTGGACTTTGAACAAGCGTTGGGTTGAATGGTAGAATATGGGACATTTATAAAAACTTCCAATGAAAAACAGAACAAATTTAAATGTGAAAGCCTAGATTAGATAACATGATGTTATATGTTATCTAGCACTATCTAATAGAGAACACAATTAATATTAGTACTCTTCTAATAGATATCTAATATTTGATAGATAATATTCTCTAATATTACATCTAATATTATCTAAAATGTTATGTGAAGACACCCCATAATCACCCTGTATGCGGGCTTCCTTGCTGCAAAGAGCTACATTAAGCTGTCTCTGGTTACAGGTACGTTCATGGTGGTATCTGGATAACAGGCATCAGCAAAGCAAATAGGCAAAATGTAAACAACTGGCAAATTTGGGTAAAGAGTTTATGAGAATTTCTTATACTGTTTTTGCAACTTTTTTATAGTGTTGAAATGATATAAAAAGTTTTAAAATATCAGGAAGGATAGCTTCTCAGCCTTTTGGCTAACTAAGATCAAGTGTAAAATATCAGGAAAGAATCATAGGAATATTAACAATGGGAATAATAAGGATAAGCATAATAAAACATGCCAGTTCACTAGTTTATGGTCTCTTGGCATTACCTGGAAATTTTCATAGTTGAACAGATAAAAAGAAAAATATTAAGAAAAATATGATGAAAATTCTGTTAAAATGTTCTTAATATATAAATGTACACAAAGAAAAACTAAAAAGAAACACATTAGCTTAACAGTTGCTATCTTTACATTCTAGATTCATGGGTAATTAAAAAATTTATTCTAGTCATATTTCCCTAATTTCTGAACACTCCACAATGATACCTTTCCACAAAAACATGAAATATTTGCAATAAGTGAAACAAAATAATTGACACAATTTTATAAAACTCTTAGACAATTCCAAGGCCTGTTAGCCTTCCTAGCAAGATCCCCTCAATCAAGTCCTAACTTAACTTTGCCCATTTGATTCTAGCTAGTTCCTATGCCTCAATAAAAATGTATTCAAGAGATTATTAACTCAGGCTCAGAACCCAGAATGCTTACAGGCCAAACCCAGCTTCACTTCTTCTTTTTTTTTTTTTTGAGACAGAGTCTCACTTTGTTGCCCAGGCTAGAGTGAGTGCCATGGCATCAGCCTAACTCATAGCAACCTCAATCTCCTGGGCTCAAGGGATCCTCCTGCCTCAGCCTCCCAAGTAGCTGGGACTACAGGAATGCGCCACCATGCCCAGCTAATTTTTTCTATATATATTAGTTGGCCAATTAATTTCTTTCTATTTATAGTAGAGACGGGTCTTACTCTTGCTCAGGCTGGTTTGGAACTCCTGACCTCGAGCAATCCGCCTGCCTGGGCCTCCCAGAGAACTAGAATTACAGGCGTGAGCCACCGCGCATGGCCCAGCTTCACTTCTTACTAGTTGGGTGACTATGGGCAAATAACTCATTCTCTCTCTGTCTCATCTTGAAAATGGAAAAAAGCAGTACCTTTCCACAGAGCCACCGTGTAGCATTAAGTGCACTTAATAAAGTTAGCAATTAAGTCTTGATGATTATCAATATCCATGCCAGAGAACACATATTACACATTCTCAGTTGAGGTGAATATATCTGTAAAATAAAAAAGCCAAGTACCACTTACGTAGAGCGTTGCTTTCAGTAACCAAGAAGTCACTCTGTGTAGTCCTCTTTGTAAAGTCAGCCTGGAGAGCTGTGAAATACCCTGACCTTGTCGCTGCCTTTGGTAAAAGTTAAATGCTGCCTTCCCTATGTGGAGGATGGAAGCAACCCTCTCCTTCCTAAAAACAAACAAATAAAAAAACAAAAACAGGGTCAGAAGGCATCTGGGATTATAAAGTGTACTGCAAAGGTCAGAGAGAAAGCCCTGGGCCACAGCAGCTCAAGCTCTGACCCCAACCAGAATACCAGACCGCCTCGTGGGAAATTAAGAGATCACCACTCAGCCAGGCGCGGTGGCTCACCCCTGTAATCCTAGCACTCTGGGAGGCCAAGGCGGGTGGATCGTTTGAGCTCAGGAGTCCGAGAATGGCCTAAGTAACTGCCAGACCCATCTCTATTAAAGATATAAAGAAATTAATTGGCCAACTAAAATATATAGAAAAAAATTAGCCGGGCATGGTGGCACATGGCTGTAGTCCCAGCTACTCGGGAGGCTGAGGCAGGAGGATCGCTTGAGCCCAGGAGTTTGAGGTTGCAGTGAGCTAGGCTGACGCCAGGGCACTCCAGCTTGGGCAACGGAGTGAGACTCTGTCTCAAAAAAAGAAAAAAAGAGATCACCACTCATCATTTAACGGGACTGTTTTGGGGGCTCATGGTCGTACTACCTCTTTCAGTTTCCAAAACAATTCTATCAGGTGGTTCTAAAATCTTCATTTAAAAAACAAGGTGAAGTAACACCCCACCTTCATGCTGTAAGAATGTGACCGCTTAAGTCGGGTGGAGGGAGGCTGACCGGGCGTGCTGACAACCCAGGAAACCCTCAAAACAGGCCAGACGCGACACGACCCAGTCACAACAAAATCCGTCCTCACCGCCCGCCAATCCTCCGGAGAACTGCTCCAAACGCAAGAGGGCTCCGTCGCCAGGAACAAACACCGCAGCCCTCCGCCGAGACTCCTTTTCCCCTTAGTCAAATTGGGTCGTCGCGAGCACCAAACACACCCGGAGACATTCTGAAGGACCCAAAAGAAACGGAAAAAATCTCAAACTATCAAGGAAGGTAGCGCCGCAACCCACGCCCGGGGACCGGAAGTGCCCGCGACTCCACAGAGTGCCTGGACTACACTTCCCAGAATCCCCCGGTCTCCCGCCTGCGCCAAAGCGCCCGGGATACCGCCGAGCGTTTGGTCCAACTTTCTCTGAATGCCAAAGGAAAACGTCCACAGTGTCACCTTCCAAGGGGAAGTGTTGTGACTACACTTCCCGCAATGCCCAAGGGGTACTAATCCCACAGCCCCCGAGCGCCTGGCCAGTACTGTGGACTGTTAAACCGAGAGGCGTCCTTTACCTCTTCCTGAATCCTCGATCGAAAATACTGTACAGCTTCCTGAAGCCTAAATGCCTCCAATTATGACAGGAGTATTATTGGAAAGGGAACAAGCGAGGAGATACAGTCTTCAAGGAATTAATGAGAGTGACTAGTCAGCCTTTCAGTCAGTAGATGACTGAAAGGAGGCTAATGGTTAGCATAAGCTGACAATGTGAGGCTAAAACTAAGAGTTTAAAAGATGGACAAAGTAGAGTGGCTTGGGAGGGGCAACGAGGAGCGTGCAAGGTGCCACCTGCTCCAGATGCTCTGATACCACTGGTTTGGCAGGAAAAACCACCACCACCATTTGAGAGGGCCAATAGGGAAGCTATATCTTCATGTAAAAACTCTTACTACATTTAAAGTTTTCATAGTATTAATATTCCTACTTTAGACGTAGAAACACCAAATTTCAGATAAGTTAGTACAGTGCTTAGTATCTCGACGCAAGTATAACCATTGAAGAGCTTGGCATTATTATCAGTATGTGGCTCAAAGCTTATGATTTACTGCAGTAGTACGGAGGAGGATTCTGGAGGTGAAAGAGCACGTTTTACTGAAGCAGGAACA